AGTCCGTGTAGGAGAAGAAAAACTGACATTACTCACCACTGACAAATAAAAACTGCTCCCAGCTCTGCGTTACTGCCTACAGCAATAAAAGCCTGCCAGGGGATTCAGCAAAAACACTTCCCAGTGCTCATCCATTTAACACTAAAAACCTCAGTGCCATCAGCAGCACTGCATTACTTTCAACTGCTAGACACGGAACTTGAGGCTCAGAAGACTGAGCAACCAGGCCAGGGCCACAGCAAGCACCACGCCGGATAGAAAGCTGGATCTGCCCAACTCAAATTCTGACTCAGCAGACAAACTGCACCCTTCCAGCATCTCTGCAAAAGACAGGTGGTTTCAGAGACGTACACACCCCTCCCAGCACCCTGCATTCAGCATACCTGTTTCTTAAGCTGAAAAACTGGATGGCAGCGAGAACTATAGCCTTCCGCAAGACTAATCAACAATTCTACTGATGCTTTTTCCTAGTTTAGAGAAAATAGTGGTTACAATTGTATTTGGGTAGGCTCTTAGCTTCCTTCTATTGAACTGTAGGCCACTTAGAGTCCCCATTTCTCATTGTCTTTCTTCAAATAATTCCATGCAGCTTGAAAAGCAAAGGCTTCATTAAAATAGGATTGACATGGCAGGCAAATCACAGCCAATAAAATGATTTCAAATGGAGGCCATTAACAATAACAGATCACAAATGCCACACCCACCCTCTGTGCACAAAACTGGAGATGAATAAGAAAAAAAGATTCCAAACAATTGGAAATTTAACTAAGAAATAGTTGCTTAAACACTAAAAATCAATATAACTATAAAAAGATCACATAATCATTTAATTGCTAAGCATACACATATTTCTAAAAGCATAAAAATTACATTATTTGAAGTTGATATAACCATATAACTTAAAAATCCAAGTCAGTCAACTAAAACCTACGAGAAAGAAAGTCAGTGAATTGACAGTTGACAAATTAAAAAATCTGTAACTACCTACAATTCTTTTTTCTTTCCTTTTTTTTTTTTTTTTTTT